CTCAATAAGGTAGGTTCACAATTTTTTAGTAGTTCTGCTGAAATAATATCATGTCTCGAAGCCTTCTTATTGTTTAAGGTTTTAATTGTAGCCCTGATTTCCTCAGTAGTTGAAACCTCAACTTCTACGTCATTTATGAATTCATGTGCAGTTATTTCAACATCCTCACAACTTTCATTAAGAAGTTCTTTAAAATGTTCATGCCATCATTTTAAAATGCCTTGTCCATCAGTAATGATTTCAGCAAATTTGTTTTTGCATAGACTAGAGGCCTGTTTAAAGTCAAATCGACTGCGGTTGATTTTCTGATAGAATGCTCTGGATTCATTAATGGATTTCAGATGTTCAACATCTTTAAACAATTCCTCATCGAAGACCCTTTTCTTTTGCCTAAAGAGTTTCTTCACCTCTTTTATGCGTCTATGGTACTCCTCTGCACTATTTCTTGTGTGTGCTGGTATCATATGTTTATATGCAACATTCTTTTTATTATTAGGAATGGCACCATCAATATCATGCCAATCCTTAACATGTTTCTTAGTTACTTTACCAATCACGGTATTGGCAGCGTTACAGATACTGCCTATTATACATTTCTATTTATTTTCCACACTACCGTCACAATTCTTTAAATTCAACTGATTCCTTTACTTTTTCGCAATATTCTAGTCTTATCATTTCATTTCTAAGTTTATCGCAATCATATTCTCTCTAAGTCTCTCCCTTAAACTTTTTTGCATTTGATAATCTTGATCTGACTTTAGCAATAATCAAGAAGTGGTCTGAATCCACATTAGCCCCACGATAAGTTCTCACGTCCATCAAGTCTGAGCAATGTCTTGCGTCAATTAGTACGTGATCAATTTGATTAGCATAAGTGCCACATGGGGCACGCCAGGTAGTTTCATGAATACTATTTTTATGTGGAAAGGACGTGCTTCCTATAATCATATTATGCGAAGCGGCAAAATCAATTAATTTGTGCCCATTCTCATTGGTTGTATCATGTTAGCTAAATCCACCAGTTACAAATTTTAATTCCCTTTCTCTACCCACTTATCCTTTAGATCTCCCAAAATAATTTTGAACAACTGTAGTAAATTTTGTCTAAATTTTCATAGAAATTTTCCTTTTCTTCCTCTGTTTTATCTTCAGTTGGTGCATAAGAACAGATAATACTGAAATAAAAGAACTTCCCCTTAATTCTGAACCTACACAGTCTCGGACAGATTGCCCCAAAATTCAAAATCAGGTGTCGCATTCTTTTGCTTACGATAAAGCCAGGGCTCTCAATATGTTTTTTGGGTGACAACTGTAAAAAACGGTATGATTCCTTTTATTCAATGTTCCATTGCCAATCCATATATAGTTTCCTAGAAATTACAGTATAAAAATGCTTATTATTTTTGGTAGCTAACCGTATTCCGTAGTTAAAACTTTTGTGTGTGTGCCTTATAATTCAAAGAATTTTGCCTGCTATGAATTTAAAAATTTATTAAAAAGTATTTTTGCTACGAAATTGTATTCCAGCAAACATATTTAAGCTATGTGCAAAAATGTTTCTCAAACTTTTAACCGATTGTCATTCAAACACTTTTTACCCATTAAAAAAGCAAGATAATCTAATATTGTTCAAAACATTTCAAGTAAATAAATTAGTAAATTTTTAAAATATACATATTTTAATGGAAGTTTTTCAAAGTTTCAAAACATTTCTTATGTTAGAGAAAATAGAATATCCATTTTAAAATAGTATTAAATGTCAAAAATGGTTAAAATCAAACAACAAGGAGCATATCTAATCATAAAATCAAAGGCTATTCTTAGTTTTTTTAAAAATAATCGTGCATATTCTAGAAGTAGATGATTGAAGTAGATATTATTATCATCTAATGTAGGTAATCTTTTTATTTGAGCAGATAGCGGAATCCTATAGACAAATACATAGATATAACGCGTATAACAATTTGAATATTGAAAATTAAAGATATAGAAACTTCAGTTGTATTATATCTCCTATATCATGTGACTATTTGATTCACAAGATAAATGTATTCTGAGGCACTGAAGACAATGAACTTTCAGCCGATATGAAGGACGCAATTTTGCACCAGATTAATTTTAAGCATTTGAGATAAAGGCTGAATTGATGAATGCCGATTTTAGATGAATACTGAATGTGACGAATGCTTTGAAAGCTGAATGACAAGACGCGTAACGACATGTGATTGCGTCTAATGGGCTGATAATTCGAAAATATTACAAAGGGTCAGTAAAAGGATTCGAAAAACTTTGATGAGATTTCCAATTTTCTTCTTTTGGTTTACCCGCATGCTTTCTGTAGTGTCATGTGTCAATAAATAAATAAACAAATAAATAATTAAGTAAAAAAAACGAAAACCAGAAATTTTTATTAAAAAATTGTCTGTCATATAAATGTCGCATAAATTCCGTATTATTTTAAAAAATTAACCGCTTTGTTGCTACAAATGTGGACGACATCAGTCAAATTTAAAACACTTCGTGCATGAATGTTAATAACGGGTGCTCATTTGATTGATCTGTAACGTATTTTTTTGAACATTTTAAACCTAATTTGTTATGATTAATTCTTCCAGGAGTTTGAAACCCATTCTTGCTGGTTTAAATTATCTTAATAACTTTAGATTTCAAACATTGATTGATTTTTCATACACAGTGCAACAATTTTTGGGTTGTTCTGCAATATCTTCCATACTTTTGTGCTAATCTGCTTGCATGCAATAGTTCAAAGAACATTTTTTATAGAGAATGCTAATACGGAAACAGTTATTCTTAAAAAAGTTTATCTTTTTATTGGAGGGCAATACACTGCTGGAGGTGCACTGCGTTCGAGCTATACACTGCATTTCAAAGTTGAAGAGCATTTAGGTGAAAAATATCTCTCTTGTCTTAAGTGAAAGATTTATAATAAATGTTTCTGTGTTTTGTGCTGTTATTAGGCGGAAATTAGGAATTTTCGGAAATTAGGGAAATACTTATTTAATGTCACCTTTGAAAAAATTATGGCTTATCACTATCTAAGAAATAAGAGGAGACGATTCATCATTCAGATTTTGCACGAATGCTTTTATGAATCACCCGTTCCAAAGGGGTTAAATGTCATTTTATTAAATGGAGCCATTTATTTAGGAATTAACCCTCAATTTTTTTTATCATAAGCTGTCAAGGCTTTGTAAAACTATGACTACAGATTTAACTTCCCAAGGCTAATTTTGGAGGTTAATTTTACAAATTTTCACAACCGGCAATTTTATATTTTTTGGTTATGAAAAGTTTTTTTCAAATCTAAAGCAATGTTAATAAATATCAAATATCTTTACAAAAGTTTTTTAACCCCTAAATAATTTCTTTAACAAAATAAAGAGCTTTTGAGCTATTATTTAAATACATNGAAAAAAACGGTTGGTTGGTTATGAGTACTGAAATAGTTCCTTTTCATTGGCAGAAATGAGAAGTGTTATGCTATTGCTATTTTATTTTGAATTGAACGCTTTACTATTCCACGTTTTGTTATATTATTAGTTATGAGTTGAATGCAGTTTTAATATTTCATATTTATTTTAAGTTAAATTTCATGAATCTTAATAACCTACGTACGATTAGGGTGGCGCCATTCAGAGAATTAAAAATACAAAATTATCTTTATTGAAGCCGCGATGCTTTACATCCGGCGTTCAGTGGCAGACTACTATTTCATATTGTTTTACAACACATGGCTTTAGCCCTTTTGTGGGAAAGACTTTAAAACAAAACTTACAACAGTTACTTTTCTCAACAACTGAAATTTAGAATAGTGTGATTAAGAAAAATATGCGAACTGTTTTCAATTTGAAATTAATATTGAAATGCACAGGCTTAGAATTTTCTACAGTGAAAAGTTTTCGAAACTTCAGTGTTCAAAAAAAGTATACAAAAGCTAGACGTTAAGAACGTATCCAATGAGCGAGCAAAGCGAGCATCGGATTGCGAAGCCATCCGAAATGAACTGCGAAAGCAGTTCCGGGGGATGGCGAGCGCCAGCGAGCAGGTGGCGAAGCCTCCTAGTGCTTAGTAAGCTGAGATAAAAGTTATTTTAATAGTCACGCGCATTCATTATCAGGCAAAGATATTTGGAAAAAAATAAAGAGTTTCTATGTTTTTCTCATAAAACAAATCTTTGCTCTTTTTAAACTGAGACTTTAATTATAGTGAGAAACTTTCAGTTTTCATATTTGTATCATGAAAGTGTCTTAACTCTTTGACGCAGATGGAACACCGGTGTCCTTTCCATATATCTTTTGCTTGACGCTCTAATTACGAGCAAAAATTACATTTTGGTATTTTTTCAATTGTAAGAAACAGTTTAACAGTTACTAAAAAATCTGTTAGATTATAGGAATTATATTTGTCCTGAAATATAAAATCCCCCAAAAATTCGTTTGAAAAAATGTTTTCTCATTCATACTCAAAAATTTATTCAAAATTGATTGTGTAAATTAAAGAAATTCAGTGTTTAATAACGTTTTCTCATCTATGCAAATAATTGCATGTGTGAGCAAATTTGAAAAAATCATTGTTTGGACGATTTTACCTTTAACGCAGAAAAAGATATCGGTGTTTCATGTTGTATCTCGTAACCATAAATTTTTAAAATGCTAGGCATAATATTTTTCACTTATTTTGACTTAAATTAATGCAAAATACTGAAAAAGTATGAAAAATATGTTTAATAAAAATTCTGAGATAAAGGGTTAAGTCCGTAGCTGTTCCAAATTTTCAAATAATATTAAACTTATAACTTCGGTGAAGTTCTGAGAAAACTCGTAAATTGTTGGTTGCAATATTGAATTAAAAATTATACTTAAAAATACCGTATTTGATTATCCAATTGAGGCATAGCTAGTAATTTATTATTTTAAAAATTATCCTTTAACTTTATTCAAATTAATTATATTTCTTTTTCTCTGAAGCTATTTCCGGCCTTGAATCATGCCGGACATCCTTACGATAAAGAAGAGCATTTTTTCCAAAAACATTCCAAATGTTATATTTTCTTAAGCAATTTGCTGTTTGTCAACAAATTTAGTTATGCTTGTTTACGATGGAAAAACAATCCAGTTTATTACACATTCATCTCCTGTATGCATATATATGCTTTTTAGTTGTTTTGAAAACTACCTTTTCTGAAAGCTCCGAATTAATTTCTGCTAAAACAGTTGATATAAAGGGTATTTCTATGATAGCTGGACAAGAAAGATCAATTAGTTCGAACATTGATTACGTGTTTGACTTGGAACCTCTCATTTCGGATGCAGTAGTTGAGGATATTGATCCAGAAGTTTCTAGAAAATTAGAAGCGAATCGAAGGAGAGATGCATCAGATTACAAGTGGACACAAGAACACAAAATGAAAATACTAGGTCTCCATAATCTCTATAGAGGGAACGTTACGCCTCCGGCTGGTAATATGGAATTCATGGTACGTGGTACATATGGCAATATTTATATTATATAAGCTTCTTAACAAGTCATAATATTTAAAGAACTTTTTATTTGCAATTTTTCTAGCAAATATAGAAAAAGTTATCAAAATATATATGTATAGCACAATAGAGACAAAAGGAAAAAAGAGAAAAACGAAGAAAATTAAGAATTAATAAGTTTTATTTACTGCGCATAATCTGAAAGTATATAGAACTTATAAAATAAGTTAGAAATATAGAGAAAACATGTAAAATAATGAAGATCAATGAAAAAAATTTATTAAAATAAGATAGTTTTAAAAAATATATTTTAAAAAATATATTCAAAAAGAATATATTTAAAAAGAATATATTTCGAAAAAAGTATTTAAAAAAATTAAGGAAAAGCGATAAGANTTATATAACAGATAATAAATTTTAATTTGACTCGTTTTAATTTGAATTTAATTAATAAATGTATAAAATTAACATGTGTTTTTTCTTAAGTTTTTCACACTACACTTCTCTACAGTTAAAAATTTATATCTGTCACAGTAAGTAGCACTATACCAGCTGTCAAAAATACATTTGAAGTTGATGAATTTACAAAAAATTAATATCAGGTAAGCAGGGGTCTACGAGACAAAAAAGTTTGGGAACCAATGATCTAGGGCAGTGTTTCCCAAACTTACGACTTTGGTGTACCCTTTCTAAATTTTTCGTAACGCTGTGTACCACTAATAAAAAAATTAATGTATTTTTTATTAAAAAAATTGCACAAAAGTTAAAAATCACAACTGGCTGTTGACACCACTAATTATTAACTGTTAACTCTGCAAAAAATAGCCAATAGAAAAATACATAATCATAAATTTTCATAGCTAGCTATGTTTTCAAATAAAATTTTTGGAAATTTTCGTTTTTTGCAAGATATTTCGCATAAGAATGCGTACCCCTGCTAAACTGTCCCCGTACCCCTGGGGGTACGCGTACCACACTTTGGAAAACATTGATGTAAATGATGTGCATGTTACTGTGAATGACCGAAATCGGTGGTTGTTGACTTTCACCGGTGAATGACAGCAATCACATAATCGCTTTGGTGAATGTCCGAAATATTTATTACATCCGATTTTATATTAATTTATTCGTGGATATAATTACATTCATTCGATATTTTAATACTTACTGACGATAGATTAGATTAGAAGAAACATCAGTGTTTGAAGTATCGGGCATATATATATACCGGGGAATGGCACTTGCCTTTAAAAAAACATCAGTGTAGGGTATACCGGGCAAATGTATACTGGGGAGTGCCACTTAACTAGACCTAGTATGACTAGACCTTTAGTAAATGTCCGAAATATATTGTTAGTACTGATACCGTATGAATAGTACTGATTAGATACATTTGCATAATTCTGTTAGAAATTTTAGAGCTTATTGAACCATGAAATTGTCCAAATTTTCTTCAACTTTATGCATCTAAGAACGATGCTATCGTACATTTTAAATGTTATTTTGTTTTACTTAAGTTCAACTTAAGCAAAACCGTGATTCTACTTAACACCTTGTTAAGGCTGAAGTAAATTTGCTCTGCATTATGGTTCAAGATACCAATATTATTATTCCAAATCGATCAAACTTTTATGAATTATTAAAAAAACTATTAAAAAACTATTACTATCAAAAAAATCGGTTCGAGGATGCTATGAAACAAAAAAATATGTAATTTGACTCAAAATAAAGTACAAACTTATTGCAACCCTAATCAGATTTTAAATTTAAACATATTTCCTTCGAAAATTTCCGAACTTTACGCGATAATATGCTAAAGGCAGATAATACACTTTTATAAAGTGTTAAATTAAACCACGCTTTTCAAGTTGAGCTACAGTATCGTGAAATCAATCTTAAGAGGGTTTAGTTAGCTCGATAGTATGATTAAACATGGTACTGTATCAAGTTGTAGCAATTTGATACAGAGACGTGTTGAATCATGCATTGATTTTGCGATTCAAAGTGCCCCAAAATTTATATCAGCGTTTGGTTTGACTTGGAACCATACTATAGTTGCAGAAAGTTTACATGATGTTTCAGTTCAATGAATTTGAAGAAAACAATCCTTTCAAAATAATCGCACTGTATGGTAATGACATTTCTGGTTAAAAAAAAAACATGATTCTGTTAATAAGAACTAAAATATACGCTATTTAAACCAATCATTTGGTAATTTTTCAATTCCTATAGTAACTGTTTAACAGAAATTCTAGTTTTCAAAATTATAGTCCGTATGACCACACATTTAGTAACAAATACAAAACTTAAAAGTAAGTTTAACCGAATAAAGGTTTTTTATGTCATGTTCTAAGGTGTCATTATAAAATTACCAAATTTTGTCACACATTATAAAACTACATTTTACAAAAATAATTACCATAGCGTTTCATTACCGAGTTTCTTGGTGCTCCCATAGAGCCAGAAACACAGTAAAATTTTAGCATATTCTTTCAGTTTTAACCATACTTTTTTCCTCAGTGTGCATTATCATTTTCAGCATGTTAGTNTATATGTTACTGATAAGATGTATATCTACTCTGTTAGAAATGTTAGAGCTTATCGAACCATAATAGTGTCCAAATTTTCGGCAATTTTATGCATCTAGAAACCAAGATACCAATATTATTATTCCAAATCGACCAAACTTTTATGAAAGTATACACTAACAGAAAAATCGGTTCAAGGATGCCATGAAACCAAAAAGTCAGTAATTTGATTCAAAATAAAGCACAAACTTATTGCAACCATAATCAAGTTTTAAATTTAGACATATTTCCTTCGAAAATGTCAGAACTTTACGTGATAATATGATAAGGGCAGATAATATGTTTTTCAAGTTGAGCTACAGTTTCGTGAAATCAATCTTTAGAGGGTTCAGTTTGCACGATATTATGGTTTAACATGGTAATGTATCAAGTTGTAACAATTTAATACAGAGCCATGTTGTGGTTCAAAGTGCTCCAAAATTTATTTCAGTGTTTGGTTTAACTTAGAACCTTTCTATATTTGCAGAAAGTTTGCATGATGTTCCAGTTCAATGAACTTGGAGAAAACAATACTTGCAAAATAACCGTACTGTATAGTACTGACATTTCTGGTTAATAACAAAACATAATTCTGTTAATAAAAACTAAAATATACGCTATTTAAACCATTCATTTGGTAATTTTTCAATTCATATTAGTAACGGCTTAACGGAAATTCTAGTTTTCAAATTCTAGTTTACATTTAGTCAAAACTTAAAAGTAACTTTAACCGAATAAAGGTTTTTTATGTCATGCTCTAAGGCGTCATTATAAAATTACCAAATTTTGTCACGTACTATAAAACTTCATTTTATAGTTAATTTTAAGAAAATCATTACCAAAGCGTTTCGGGAAAAATTACCGAGCTTCTTGATGCTCCCATAGCGCCAGAAACACAGTAAATTTTATCATATTATTTTAGTTTAAACCATACTTTCCTCAGTGTGCACTATCATTTTCAGCATGTTAGTATATATTGTTATATTAATTGTTATAGGGTTTTCTAACCACTGCCCGTAATGTTTTCGTTCATAATCTTAGACAAAAAATTGTGCGCTAGAGATTGAAAATCAAAAATTAAGTGACATAAAAATATAATTAAAAACTGATTAGTCATTAAACACCGTAATTCAACCAAAGTAAAGAAAAACTAAAATAATCAAAAACTAGTTTGTTTAATTTTTGTTAATGAAGCTTAAATCTTTTGTTTTTTGTGAACAGGCTCTCAGTCTGATCTAAAAAGTTAGAACCTTTTAATCTTGAAACTTTTCACGTCCTCAACGACAGCAAACATCTTTCTTTCTAAATCATTTGAAGTCGTGATCAGTGGAAATAATATATGCGAGTATTTCAATATTTTCTTCTTTAGGAATGGGATGAAGAACTTGAACATATGGCCCAGGAATGGGCAAATGCATGCGAATTCCAACATGGAAGACCACCTAATTCTAGAGGAGGATATGGTCAAAACCTTTACTTAGGTACAGATCCAACAGGACTTAAAGGCCTATGGATGTGGTACCGAGAATATCTGAATTATCACTTTCACAACCATTCATGCCCACTAGGATTAATGTGTGGACATTACTTGACGGTAATCTTCTCTATTTAATTTACATTCTCAGTTAAAAATATCTAAAGATATTATGTATTCTTTTTTGAAATACAGTCACTTCTTAAACATGTTTTTTATAGTATATATATATTTAACAAATTTTACCTTTTTTCTCTCTCTTGAAAATGAATTATTGCTGCTTTATACTTTTCTCAGTAGAGGGCATGCTTCAGAACCTTTATTTCGGGTGCATGGCAATTTTGAATAAGGCATCATACCTAATTGCTGTTACTGATCAAGTCCTTCAATGCTAATTATATATTTCAAGAACGCGGACCACTTTCAACAGGATAGGTGTCCTGCCATGTAGCTGACATTATAAAGGATCGGTTTGAGAAGATTCTTTCATCACGTTGGTTGCATTTAAATAACATTTTTGAGCATTTGTGGGAGAAAGTAGAAAAAATTATCTGTAAACTAGTTACACAACCATCAAATTTAATTCTGTTTGAAAATGCTCGCAAATGTGCCATAAACTACATCATTCATAGAGTCCATATTAATAACAAAGATTTCGTCTCTCTGAACAAGAGTAAGAATGAGAGAGAAGTCATAAAAAACTAGGAGCTCGGTGGATAAGATATTTCTTGTAATATTCGCATTTTTCAATGAAATTTTTTTTTAAATTTTACTCTCTAAATTGTGCTACATTTAATCGCTGTGTAATAGTAGTTATGTCGTCTGCGCGCTGTGTAGTCCAGTTAAGTGTTTAATCTCGAAACAATTACCTCTTAAAAACAAGCATATTAGTTTATTTATTTAAACCATAATAAGCCTTATACATTGTGATTTTCATAAAAAAGAATAATAAAATTTAACATGAAATAGTGGATAAGAATAGAATGTAGTAGATGAAATTATATTTTACCCTTCAAACGAAGGCGTATTATGTGACACCGATACACCTACATATGTTTAAAACTATTTCACTATTTAAGATTTAAAACTTTGTCTTTACTCAAACATAAAATAACTCTGAATTCCAAAATTTGACCGATAGATTCAGAGAAATGATGAAAGGAATCACGAAGTTAAGAACTTACCATAGAATATGGAGTCGCAAACCGTGCAATCCGTGAAATCGTGTAAAAAACGTGTGCAGGTTATGAATCTAGAGAAGACGATAGATGGTGGTCAGTTGAGATTTCCCTAACTAAATACACAACGCGAATGGGGCGGGGCCCCTTAACTGTTTTGTTTTGAATGTTAGTTTACCTTATAGTTACTTTACCTGTTAGTTACAGACATCATAAAAAAGCGATCTCTGAAGCAAGGAAAGAGGTTCAGACGGCTTTGTGTATTTACGAGGAAAGAAAAACCTCTTCCCATTCTTCAGAACCTGTGTTTGTTTATATTCAGAGAAACAAAGAGGCTTTTATGAGGAAAATATTTATGTTTTAAATTTAAGCTCAGTAATTATCTTAATTACAGCACAAAACTAATATTTGACGAGTTGTCCATAAAGCGTGGAAATTCGTCAATTCAGCAGATATCAAAAGCACATCTAACAGCTTGCTAACAGAGACTTGCGTGCTGAGTGCATCCAGAAACATTTTTACGTTTTTGTAGACTGTGCAATGACCTGTGCTTGTGGCACAAACCGGCGTTAGAATGCAAGACTATGTGGGATTAATACTGCGCAATGACGTCGGCAAGTGGCCCATTGAGCAACTTTTGTAATAACAAGTAAAATAAATCTTTTTGTGATTAACAAGCATTAAGAATAGTTTTTTAGTTGTTTTACAGCTTGATGCAAAAACCAACATTAGTTTTCCACTATTATCACTCTCTTAATATGACTGCTTAAACTTCGAAAATTGGATTGATTTGGGAATGCGGATATCAGTATTTGCAGCTCGAAAAGAAGTGATATGATTATGCCTGTGATTTAAATGAGATTTAATTTGATATCTGTAGGCGACGTCACGCGTGTGTGGCGAACCTGATTGGCTTCTGAATAGACAAATGCCAAGATTTACCTACGATGACGTCAGTTAGAGTGATCCAATTGCTTGAAAGTTTTTTAAGTATCATTTATATTAAGACGAATCAAGCACAAAAGCAGAAAAAAAGTTATTCGATAAATTTTTCTACAAGAAAAAAAATCTTAAAAAAAACTACATCTAAAAGATATTAAATAGAACTTTAGATCTTCAAAACGCTAAGTTTCTGAATTGCCAAGCCAAATATGGAAACCAATTTACAGCATTATCAATGTACTGTATTTTACGCTATTGGAGTTATCGGTGAAGTGTGGTTATTTTTATCTGACGTTAAAAATGTCTTTATGGTGTTGGATTGTAAAATTTTTATATACATATTTTTAGGCTAATTATGCTAAGACAAGTTTTAATGTTCCTCCGAAATTGCCTTCATTTTCATGGTATGCATGCATCGCAATTATAAGGAGACGCAATTTATAAATTTATGCTGATTATTTTTTTACAAAAAAAATATACTCAATTGTTTTTTGCAGATGGCTTGGGCCGCTAACACTAAACTTGGATGTGCTGTGAATCTATGCGGTTATCAATATTTGCTGGTCTGCCATTATAGCCCGGGGTAAGTATAGTATATCTAATAAAGTGATAATAAAGTTAATTGAATATGATGCTTTAGAGTCTGTGGAAATATGTCGTCATCGATATCCTTTTACGTACGCAAACCTTTTTTTAGTTGACACATAATAGTATTAGTATATATATCAAGGAAATAAAGTACATTTCGTTACATTAGCAACACCTTTAAAATAGGCTTCCTTTTGGTCAAAAAAGAAATCAAGAAATTTTCATGATTGGGGTCTCAAACTTAAGCCATGAAAAATTTAAAAAAATTATCGAAACCTGGCAATCATTGATAGAGAAAGTGAGATTAAAAAGATCAAAATCTGATTACCGGAGGTTACTAAGAGGATATGAGCTTCAAAATAAGTTTTATGTTTCAATCAGCCTTTCTCAATAGTGATGAATCGGAATTTTATTACATTTGTTTTTTCGAACTCAAATATTAATTTATGACCTCTACTGTGCATATTTTTACATTTCATTTTTGACAATTTTAAAAATATTCACTACGGTGGTGAATATAGAAGAATATAAACTTTGAAACAACATACTTTTAATATTTCGTGATCTGCAGTTTCTTCTACCAAAGCTGCAAAATTTAAGATAGATGAATGAAGGGGGGGGGAATGAAACTATAAAATAAAAGTTTTTGCACATGGAAAACGATATCAAGTTGAAATAAGGATTTGGTTTTCTCAAAAATATCGTTTGACCAGTGGTCAGAAATAGCCCGCTACAAGTAGCATAAGTACAGCAGTTGTTACTTTTTTCGTAGTTTGATATGTAGTTTGCTACTTGAGTAGTGAGTAATGTGATACAAAAAAAAAATAGTAGCTTGTAGTGATTCCAGGCAACTACTTTTAACGTTAGTTTAGTAAAAGAACGAGGTTTAAACGCAACTATTTTTTTCGAATCTGATTAGTACAAATCTTTGCGGATAGTCAGTGCGCGTGCTGTCGAGCTTTTACATGCAATACATATTACTAATATTTAAATCAGTCACTGCAAAGAGTAGCTAATATATCACTTTGACCACTCTTTGAAGTACGAATGTACACTCAAGAAACATTGATGTTATTTCAATGGAAAAGAACTCATTTTTGCTGTCATTTTCGACGAACGTTATTTCCTAGAAAACGTTATTTCCTAAAAGAAATATTAAAAAAGCAATAAACACTTAACGAACAACAAATATCTAATAATTTAATAGCAATTCTTAAATTTAAAGTTCGTCATCGAGAAAGGCATAACAGTTGAAGGTTATAAGAAAAAAATAGTAAAAAATGATTAAAGGTAGCTAACTTATTTTTTTGAACAGGATTAATTGTTTAATTGTTCCTCATGCTTAAATAAGTCAGCTTTTTGTTCAAAACCATTGTTTACAATGCAACTAAAAGAAGGGAAATACTTACTACATTTCAAAAAAATGTATTTGTAGCTGTAGTTAACTACATTTGTAATAAATCGTTTGTAGTTAAAATTCAAAAATCGAGTAGGTTTTCCAACCACAGCGTTTGACATTATACGGGCAATAAAATGTCCAAGCAAATGACTAGGGTATTTTTAAATTTTTTTATTTTTATTTCCAATGGCAGACATGAAAGACAAATTTGTAGCTGAGAACAATACAAAGAAAGAACAAAAAACGGAAACAAGAGCTACAAAAAGAAAGGGTCTATAGGTCTTTAATATTGTATCTCGCCCGCCAATAACGCTCCCACAGGGGCCCAGGAGGAAGTGCAGGGCAACGTCTCAGATGGTTAGAGTCCATTTCTTCTTGTAGGTTACATGATGGACAAAAGGGGCTTGAAAAGATTTTGATTCTGTAGAGGTGTTTTGATAAACAGTCATGGCCAGTGCCAAGGCGAAAAAGGGCCGCAGATTTTTCTCTTGGCCATGACGGAATATCTTTAATTCCTTCCAGCCAGTCCTTATCTTTATTTGCTTCTTGGAGTTTTGCCTCAAATGTTGTTCGAAGAGAGATTTTTATTAGCCTTTTTGCGGTTTAGAAAGGAGCTGGTTTAAGAGATATTTGTAGAATCTTGGCGGCTAATGACTAGGGTATGGACATTATGTTTAATTGTTTAATGTGACTTTTAAAATAAATGTTGTATTTTTAAGAGTGTGTGTCCTTTCAATTGATTACAAAATGAATTTCAAAAATTGTGTGACTTTCAAATTGCATTTTAATTTTTCTTTTCCTTTCCAGAGCATCTAAAGGGACTTACATTTATGATGTCTCAAAACCATGTTCGCAGTGCATAGAGAAACCCGGAACTTTGTGCTACAAGAATCTTTGCAGTAAAACGAGAAACTTAGTTTTCTTTCAATTACTCTCAATAATTTTATACAATTATGAAGTTGCTTTTTTTTTCTTTTAATTATATTATAAACTTCAGAACAAATAATACCTTTCGCGATTTGTTCACGGAAAAATAAATTTGGGTAAAAAAACCTACCCCTAAGGTTATAAACATTTCTTGTAAAGAAAAAAAAAGAGAAAAAGCAACAACATAATTCTGGCTAATAAAACCATATACAGTATTTAAAACATTCATCTGATAATTTTTCCGGTCGCATGGTAGCGGTTTAGCGGAAATTCTGGTTTTCTTAATTATAGTCGTTATTACCACACATTTAGTAACAAATACAAAACTGAAAAGCAAATTTAACCACATAAATGGTTTTTATGCCATTCTCTAAGGTATCATGATAAAATTACCAAATTTTGAAATGGCATATAAAAAATTTTATAACACTATTTTTTCATGGTTAATTTCACCAAAATCATTGCCAAATTGTTTCGATTAAAATTACCGAGCTTTTAGGTGTTCCCATAGAGCCTGAAACATGGTAAATTTTACCATATTCTGGTAGTTTAGACTATACTTTTTTTTCAGTTTTGATAGTTTTTTAGTGTACCACTAATGGATAAAAAAAACGAGCCCATTTTCTGCAAGAGATTTATTTACAATGGTAGTAATTTTTCGAATGATTCATAATTTTTTACAAAACAATAACTCGAAATCTGGAAAGTCATGCTTGACCGAATGGTGAGTGAAACCGTTCGATTTATCTCCATCTTCACCATTGTTTGTTTATTTATTTTATCAATATTATTCACCATCAAATAATTTTATTTGAAGTTTCGGTAAAATGGTACTTTAATTTTTTGGTAAAACTAGATTGAGTATTTTTATTGTTTCATTTCATTAAAACACGATCAAATATATTTTGAGTGACCTAAAAATAAAATAGCTAAAGTAAATAAAAGAACTTGTAAGACAAATTTATTTTTGGGTTTTGTTCTAACACCAACATGAGGAATCAAAGTTTTTACTCAGTTTAATATGAATTAAATGCCAATAAATGAATATAGTTTGAATCATATCATCAAAGAACATACATTCCTTCAAGTGTAATCTAGCGCATAATAGTTGCACTAAAGTATAAACATATGAAAAATTGTGTCAGTTCAAAATCACCGTAGCTGAAAATAAAATCCTCTTACTAGGTTTCATATTAAAACACAATTATAATAACTTATCTTTTTCTCTTTACAGTGACGAAAGAACAATGTCAGCGCAATCCAAAAAAGTGTAGTAAGCATTTATGATGTTCTTATAAATATCTTCTACTTATCCAAAAATTGATATGTTTATTTGGATAAAGTACGTTTTTTTGTCTGATTTTATAACTTTAAATAACGTCTGCACTAATTACTTAGTGTATTTGAGGTCACCCGCTCAAATCATTAAGATTAAGTCCTAGAACGTGAATATTCAATCATTAGATCAAAAGTTATTCAGGTAGTCCGTTAATTTTTCAGCGCACTGTACAAGAAATTATCTTATTGTAGCTGAAATTTTATAAGTAGTAACTTAAATTCTTAATATTTTAAGAAATTGTTTTTTCTAAATGCCTCTCCAGTTTGAAAATGCTCCTCTTATATTGGGTAAATGTTAGTTGAAAATGAATTAGGAATCATTAAAATGCCTCAAAAAATATACTTAAACTCTCAGCAGTACCTTGAAATCTACATCCTACATCTATAGCTACTTACAGCCGGCCAGGTGGCCGGGCGGTTAGCGCGCCTGACTGCGAAGCCAATGGCTGCTGGTTCGAATCCCGCTCTGGGCATGGATGTTACTCTCTATGTGTTGTTCACTGTTGTGTGTGAATGTGGCCCATCCTGTGAACGGGTATTTGTGGCAGTGTGCGTGGGTAATGTTGCTCGCCTCCGTGACTTAGGTTCACAGGTACCCACTAGGTAACGTTAAATGAGTAACATTTATGTCATCTTCCCATGTGAAGAACGAAACTTCAGTACCTACCGTTAGAGAAAAAAAAATAGTTACATCCCTACTACCTTAAGTCTAGTTTTTATGCATCCGAAAAAGTTACTGCCGTAGAGTTACTACCATTTCCTTGCTAATTTCTAATATATATTTATTTAACTATCTTCAAAAATTTTAAAAAATCTTTATTTTTGTTAATCAAAAGATATTGCTTCTTTTTATACCCTAAAACTGTGTTTCCTCTAGCGCGATCCTCTTTTTTCAATAGAATTGGCTGTATGCAACTTGAAATGCCATAACTGCGGACGGTTAGATAAAGCTGACTGTTTGTGTTCTTGTGCTGATGGCTGGGACACCTATGACTGCTCACGTGAGTACATTTGTTTTTTAAAAAAAATAGTCTCACCTTTATGATCTATTTGAATAAAAGTGAGAGATAGTCATTTAAAAAAATGAAAATCTTCTAATTAATACTTCCAGTTTGAAAGAAATTTGAATTAAAATATTTTATTTATAAATTTCGAATTTTCCTAAAATTTCCGTTTAATCCCCAAAATTTATAGTTCCATATCCCTTTCAAATTCGCCAGGTTTTTCTAGTCATAATGTGAGAAGAAAAAATAATCAATGGCTTTTATAATGCAATATAAATGACGATAAAAATTCAGAAAATTTTCCTTGTACCGTAAAAAAATCCGGATGGTGCCGGTACTTTTCACCGTAAAATCCGTTTTTACCGTAAAATTTTACGGAACAAAAAAAATCTGATATACTGTAATTTTTAAACTAATATTGTAAAGTCACTGAATTACTGTAGTTCAATAATTATTATTGTAAAATATACGGTACAAAATTTTACGGTAAAAGTGGATTTTACAGCAAAACTAATTTTACGGATGATGCAGAATGTCTTACAGTGTGCTTAAAATTATGTAGTATTGTCTTTATTATTGTGCAATATTTTATGCTTCGAATTCTAAATCAATGTCTTTATTTATGATAAATCATGATATAATAAATCATGTTTCAAATTTTACAGCTTCTCTCTATTTTTTACAGTATAATAATTCATGTTCAATGGGAATTTTTTTAGGTCCGTGCGAAAATGCTCACGAGCGTTGTGGTATTTATCCAGGCTATCCCAGCAAATCAGTTTGCCCTGTTTATAGTAAGGTTGAAAATGAATTTTGCAGATTAATGTGTGGTAAATGTGGTAAGTTTTCTTCTATTTTTTATTGTTAAAATTTAATACTCAGGATACATCGATACCATAATCAAAATGACTTGGTAATTAATTTTTGGCCCTGATAATTTCGGAAATAAACGTTTTGGCTAACAGGCACTAATAACCTTTTTACTGTCAATAGCAGGATTCCCAAATTTCTCTGTTGTGGCATTCTTAAACGAAACATTATCACCAATCATATAATTTTTATCTGTGGAATGTTATTATATATGTTACGCTGAAACTCAGAAATAAGGCGAATGTTATCATTCTTTGCTAAGTATTAATATTCAGCATAGTTGCTTTGGTGAACTTTCGAAACACTTGTTATGCCTGATTTGATATTAATTTATATGATACTTAAAAATATTTATTTGATATTAATAACAACCGATTAGGGAAATGTCAGTGTAGGGAGTACCGGACAATTGCCCTTAACCATCAAAAACATTTGTGTAGGAAATACCGAGAAACGGTTCTTAATTTTAAAAAACTTTGGTGTAGATAACACTGGGTAAGTGTGTATCAGAAAAGGGCGAAAACATGTCTTTTGTGTATTTGTATCTGTGAATATGGTATTTAGTAATAACCGATGGCAATTGATAATAATCATGTATTTTAGTTAATGCAATAAAAAAATTAAAATTAACTACATTGCCCGGTATTACCTACACTAATGTTTTTTAAGGTTAATAGCCATCATCTAGTAAGCATTAAATAATGATATCTAACAGATACTCACCAAAAAACTATGTGAATGTCATTAGTCACCGAAGATTATCGACTTTCATTAATTTCAGTCTTTCACAGCAACATATGTATATTTCGCAGTCTAATTCAAAAGCAAGTATAGTAAGCACCTGCATTGCTTTCCTGTTGGAATTTCTAGATTTCTACCTCTATATTACCTTATGATTTTTGCATGTTCTAAATTCCTTTTCCTATGAAATCCAAAAATTGATGTCGAAAGAAATAATTTTTTATTGTGAAAATATCATTTTATTTAAAAATGAATTCAGTAACTCAAATGTGAAAATATCTTTTTCGGTGTATTTAGTGCCTTATTTTGAAAATGAAACTATTACTCATGAGGTTGTAAACCACGTTTGCTGTGACGGAAAGTTGTGTTCAAGAGGGAATATCCTGGATTTGAATAGAAAACCCTGTACTTGTAATCTACAGTGCCCAGGACCTCGGTGTGGTAAGGCATTTTTCAAACTTTTTCTTGTTTGGCCGAAACTTGACTTCATAAGCAACTTTGGCATGAGCTCTATCCTATTTAGATTCGGTTTAGTAGGGAAATTCAAATAAGTTTGGGTATTTTGATGCTAGACTATTTATAAGTGTTATTTACTTTTTAATTCTCGTCATTTTGTACGTGGGTTCTAAGATTATATACTATGGTTGGTAACGTAACACTCTATTATTAGAAAGGCACTATAGTAGTTTGATTCTTATACTTTTCCGGGAAACATAATAAAGGCATTAAGCATCAGAGCAATGTGATTTTTTTTTTATACATAAAAAGTGCAAAGGGTTACTATTAAATAACATTATTACTTTTTTATTTTCCGTTTTCCTTATTTATTTTGCTTAGTTTATTTTTAAATATAGAGGTACGTAGAAACGCCAATTTTGTTTCACAATTCGTAATTTTATTCTAACTTTTAGGATCCTGCATCAAGTTTGGTTGCCTTTATTTAAGAACGTAAAAATTTTTTGAAACAAGAGCATTAATAAATTAAACAGAGGTTTATTTTGTTAAAAAACAAGGAAATAAAATAAGAAAGAAAACTGAAAGACATCACACATCAGTAAGTCTAAGGATTATTGTAAAACTTAAATAAAATTGTGCTGATTTTTAAAGTATCAATTTTATAAACAAAAAATCACAATTAACTATAAAATGTTAAATATTTAAATATTAGTTCATCACTTTTCTTCAATGACCGTTTAATTTTCTACAAAAAAATGTTTCTGGCAGCTGTTAAACTTAAGTCACTTTACTAGCATAATTAATGTAGTTACTATTTCTAATGACACTTGGCCAAGTCACGCTCGCCAGCCATTGGTCTTTTTGCGAATAAAGTAAAGAAAGTGCACAAAAATAAATGCACTAAAGAGAGCACAGCAAGGGTGAAATTGCGTCTTTCTTAAGAAACCCGTGGTGTAGATGGCAGTACTACTAATTTGTGTGGCCACTCAATTTAGACATTTATCTGAAGGGGAAGGAATTTTTTTGCAAATCACTGTACCCATGGTAATGGTCAGAGACAAGCCACAAGACATTCTATTTCACAGATTTCATGAGCATGTACTCGGTGGGTCTTACCGGAATCATGGATCGAACCCCCAAACCTCAGGCCCGGAATCAGATTTTCTTATCATTGGGCTACCATGGCCCACAAATGTTAATAAGATAATAAGTGCATAATGCAAATGCATATAATGCCGTAAGACGCATAATTTCGTACGGGGAATCGAATGTTTGAAATGAGATTTTTTGAAATTTAAAACTTATTCAAAAAACTTACATATTTTAATGTTATTCTCAATCTTAAAAAAAAAATTACGCTGGAAAAATTTATTATATGTCCAGCGACTGAGGAGCATAAACCAACTCCAAACAATAATTGTTTAGAATTACACTGAGAGAAAGTTCGGTACCTAGCGTTGAATTCCCAGCACATCATCCTGAGTTAATCAATAGAAAAGGCATCTTCTTTAGAATGTCCATCAAAAGACACTTCAAAAAATTCCGAAGTTAAGAGAAAAAAAGAAAAAAAAACTCCTGCTGACGTAAATAATAGACAATACGTGATAGATGAAGTCTCTTGTTTCGTTTTAAGATAAATGTTTGCTTTAATCTTTGTAATACGAAAAGACGGTCAATTATTTCTATTAAGTATCGAGTTCAGTTAGTGTTTAATACAGTGTGAATGACAGAATGTCACTCCCGATCGTGATATAGAGAACTGCTTCCTTTGAACTTGAATAAAAGTGAATAAAATCATTGAATTAGAATAAATTAAACCATAGATCTTCGAAAGAAACCACATATTTTTTATAGTTTGAAAGAAATTGATAATGTGTGAAACGTTGAGAGATGACTATAGAAAATAATACATACGTGATGAACAGATATTATTTTTTTATGTCAATATGTTGTATTTTATTTAGTTGTAACACAACACGAACTATGCAAGGACCTACTTATTATATAATATTTGTATTTACTGCAGAAACAGAAATCAAATGTACCCGTTGTTCTTTTAGTCTAAAATAAATTAATTAACTCAATTATGAAATTTTTGAAACATATTACTCACTATCCATTTTACAGATTCCATGGATGGAAGTGGTATGAAGTCAAGGATCAACACTATTCCATTGTTGTGTTTTGCTTTGCTGGCTTTAATATTAATTTGATGCAATTGTAAAAACCCAAATAAAATATATCAATATGTAACATTTTTCTTTATGTTATTGCTTTAAGGTCTATGCATTTTTGTACCCTCCAACATTTTGTTATATATCATAGTGGAAAGCTGGGCAAAACGGTGTACTTAGTTTAAAATTGTATGTTTTTATAACAATAAATAGTTAATTGAAGGAAATGCGATTGCTTCGATGAACACATTATATTCTCATATTTTTAAAAGAACAATGATACATTAAAAAAAAAAGAATAATATTATTTTATTCAATAAAAGAAAAAGTACAGCAAATACCTCGTCCTGACTCAAGTATAAGGGAGAAGTGAGTGGTAAGTAAAACTAATTAGTTAAGATCAATTAGTCTAATTAAATTAATTTAAAAAACCAACAAACAAATAAAACTAGTGGATATGCAGAAAAATGTTTGCTTTTTATGTACGTAGATTTTTGAAATATTGGTTTAAGGTTTTATTTTATCCCTTAAGATCAATCAAACACTACATTTATTGTCAAATATGTTAAAACAAAGCAGAAAATTTTTTTCCTTAAAAATTTACTCTAAGTTTTACAAAGATATTACTGCTGCTTCATAACAAATATAAATATAGACAGAATTAGGTACTTCTCTATTCCTCTTTAAAAACATGATCCAGGTTAAAAAGGTAAGATCATTTGAAAAATATGCGTAAACAAACGTTTAACAACCATAAACCAAAGGCAATTAAATGTACCTTAAGCAAGTACTAACACAGTTAATGTTAGAAAATATGTGCACTTTACTTTGGCAGCAAAATCACCAGAAGTTACAATACAAGAGTATTATAAAAAGGGGAAAAATTGTGATATATTCCCATACATCAATTAGAAGAGAGATGGGGGGGGGGGGGGCTTTAGACTTGGAAGCGTCTAAACATAGATTCGAGTGTTGCAATCGGTAATATTCTTCTTGAAGATCAGTAGAAGTGACTTTTGACACTTGCAGTAAGCCTGATTTAATCTCTCTCGCTCAAGAAAAAAAAATTGTAGAGTTCCTTCTCAATCCATGCGATTTGCGCTTGCGCAAGAAGTTTCTCCTACGGTGCATTCTCATTGCATGCAATTGGTATATGCCTTTGTACATAAATGAGATTCGCGCAGCCTCAACAGTTAATCTTACGTGTAATTTCTAAACATTCACGCACACACACATCTAAGGCAATCGCGTGTAGTGTTGTGCTCATTTATAGTATCCAAACATACCCACAAAAATGTTGGACAATTGGATGCAGTAAATATCGCTCTATGTCCCACAGGAAATTGCAAAACGTATTACGTAATCGAATTAGTTGAACCTTTTTCTTTGATTCGAAGATTGTGTGAAATGTTTCAATAGAAAACGTACGTAACAATCAGGGAGCTTTCTCATTTCCTGATATTCACGCACTTCCAAGCAACATTGCAACATGCTATCACAATTTTGATGCTCTGCGGAGGGGTATGACCTGCTCGCGAAGTTAAGCAATTTACGGTAGAACGGTTTAGCAAGGACCGATTGTACGTATCCTCGGTTTCTACACTGGTTTATTAATATGGTGTGCTTGACATCAGTATTGTTGAGGGAACCGTGTAAAGATTTTCTGGTGATCTTGCTCTGATTTGAGTGAGACTTTTCACATGTGAAAAAAAAACACACGCAATTAGAAATGTTCTCTGAGGAGCGTAACAGTGGACACGATTTGTGCACCTCCAATTGCCGTTGTGAGGAAAGGAGAACCTGATTTTTGGAGTTTTTAATGGGAGAGCACATTCTACCAATTAGGTTTTCAGTCTCTCTCGGCTGCAATCTCAGTTGCATGAATTGCATTTTGTGATAATGGTCATGAAAAAACACACGTGTACGTGTTATTAATTATACGGCTTTTATTTGTAAGAATAGTTTTCATTGTTTGAGGAAAATCTATGTATGCGAATTCGGAGAGGCAGATGAGAACCTGATCAAACAGCCAATACTTCCCCTCAAAGCCGCACGCGAGTTTCTTGTATGCAAAGAGAATGGCTCCTTAGTATAAATCTTAAATCATTTGTCTTCACTGTATTTGCAACTACTGCTTTGTTTTGTTACTCATTTTGTTATGGCGTCTCATTCGAGCCGATCAAGTTCTGGCTGGCCAAAAGGAAGTCAAAATAATCAATATTCCGGAAAATACATGTCTGGAAGTAACAATTCGTTAAATTCCACCCTCAATAGATCTATAAGTTTGTGAGTATAAATACCAGATTTCTCAGTATTAGGGAAGGTTTACTCAAATTGCCATTTTGATTGTTGACTCAATACCGGTGAAAATAAATATTGCTTTCATTCATAAGTGTAAAAATACTTATAAGTTGTAGTATTTTTTTTTAAGCAAAGTTGTTATTTGTTTATTTTTTGTAATATTGTAATTTTTCTTGGTTATTTATATTGTATAAATAAGGTTAAACAACATGAAGCTAACTTATGTGTTTAATTATTTTTACCTGTTAAATTGATATTTAATTTGAAAAAAATTTTGTGCTATACAGACAATTAGTTTTTATGACTAAAGTTTCCTCACATTAAGCTGTCTAGACATAAGTAATGATAAGTACTAGGTCCAGGACTCAAAAATTTTGTTCTTATCTTAGTTACATATATTTTCCTTAAGCTTAGATTTTAACTCCGAAATATATCCATAATGTGATCTGTATCGCAGACTACAATCGCAGTATCTCTCTAAACTCAGTGGCGCGACAGCCCTTAGAGGGCCAAGACCTACTGTGCCCATCTCAGTTTTCTGGGGTCAACTGAAAGCGGAACACCCAGTGTTTAGTTCCCAATCATGCTTGGTACTCATTTATTGACCCGTTGAAGGGATGAAAGGCTGAGTCAACATTGAAATCGAACCCAGGACCTGTGGAACGGGAGCATGAAGCGCTACCATTTAGCCACCGGGCGTCTACAATCGCAGTGTCACCAACTAAACTAGAAATTTAAAAAGCATGTAGTTTCCATGGTGGGTGGCTACAGGTTGTACCCTTCTAGTTAGTCCTTCTGTGACGGTCTTTTTTTCTGAGGAGATTTCCGTATCGTGATCTGTGTCAGAATAATTGTCAAGTCTTGAAAACTTCCGGGAAGTGGTCCGCGAGAGACAAAGAAAAAAACCTAACAGAAAGGGACCAACTCGAAAGGTATAGCTCGTAGCCAGCCCCAGGCAAACATCTACATGTTTTTTTTTTAAAAAAAAATTTGCAAGTTTAAAATCTATTTGGCACCTTCGTGATTGTAGTCGGCGCAACAGATCACGATACAGAAATATCTCCTTTTTCCTTTCCAGACTAGTGCTGGGCAAAAGCACTCAAAGAGAAAAACTAAAACTCAACTATCAAAAAAAAAAAAATTGTCATTTACACAGATAAAGCACATTTAGGTAATACCAAATTATTATTTTATAATGCTAAACCGGTATTGTTGCACCTCTCATGTAAGTTTTATAAAATTATGGCAATATAAAAACAAAACTATTAACCTTCACTAAACCAGCATAAAAAAAACTATGCAATGATAAATACACTGAAATTACTTATTTACAAAATGTACATTCCATTTCTTTTTTATTTAAAAAAACTAGAAATTTTGCTAATTTATCTTTGATTTAGCAAATGCACAACAATAAAAAATTAACTCTTTGATGATATTAAATTTTTTCACTTAATTGTAAATATGCTTTTCGGGGTATTACCGTATCATGATCTTTTACGCCAACTTCAAATGTCAAGGCATCAAATATATTTTAAACTAATGAATTTTTAAAAAAATGCTTGTCGAGGTTTGTCAGGCGGTTGGGTACGAGCTGTAACCTTTGAGTCTTTCCCCTCCTGTGACTTTTGGGGATATTTCTGAATCGTGATCTGTTTTGCTAACTACTATCACCAAGGGGCCAAATTGACTTTAAATGGGAGGAAATTTGTAAAAAAAAAAGACACGTCGGGGTGGCTCATAGTTATATCCTTCGAGTTGGTCTCTTTCTGCGTTTTCATAGTTACTTTCGGGCCGCTGCCAAAAATTGGCTATTGTTCCGCGACAGATCATGACGTCTTCACAGATCTTTCTTAGTTCCTCTCAGGTCTCTGCCCGTAAGTTTATAAGACTTGGTTCGGTAAGTTTATAAGACTGTTAATAACGATATGAAAATTTTCCTTTACTTCTTAACACTCATTAAGCTTCCCTCGTTTTTGAAAACAAAGCATCTCTAATTCAAATAAGTTTCAGACAAACACATGCAATAAAGTATGCATCACTTCAAAATTAATTTGAACGTATAGCATTTTAGGGCTTGTAAGCACCTGTAAAAGATATTCAACACAAAAGTCAATGAAGTATTAATAAATAATGTAATCTTTCCCCAAAACCCTGGGTTGTCAGAGAATATTCACCTTAATAAATTTCGCTAAAAATTATGCTCTCTCATACTCTTTTGTTAGCAATTATTATTTAATCTTCTGGAAGATCAGACCAATTAAATCATTGATATAGCGGTAATTGTATAATTTTAATTTTTTAAGCAAATTGCTTGTAATCTTAAAAAGTAATGCAAGTAACATAATGTCATGATTAATTTTTTATTTACTTTATAATTGAAGTTTTTATTAGATATAAATTTGTTTAAATTTTGCTCTTTCCTTTCTACTTAAAACATTTATTGTGGTATTGTTTGATTATTTTGTATTTTCATAACAGTAAGATTTAAATAATATTTTAATTATTATTTAAAAATAGTTCTTTTTTAATATTATTTATGGTCGATTTTTTTTTTAGATATCCTCTTACCAATTACACATTTGGTACTAAAGAGCCTCTATATGAACGTGACAGCTCTGTACCTGCCAGATTTCGGCGCATGAGAGAGGAGTTTGAAAAGATTGGAATGCGTCGTTCTGCTGAGGGTGTTCTACTAGTTCATGAGCATGGTTTACCTCACGTGCTTCTATTACAATTAGGAACTACATTTTTCAAGCTGTAAGTTTTATATAAGATTGTATTATTTTTATTTATAGTTTATTTCTTTGGGTTTTAAATAAAAGAAATTAACTGTATATGTTCAAAAGAGGTATTCCAAATGAGAAAAAACTTAACTGGAAGTATGATATAATAAGGTAACAATTATAGGAGCTGTCACCTGAATTTATTTTATAAAAAGATTAGAAAATTTTAGTTAGAACTTCAGTATTATGATACAGGATTGGGTATAAAGTGCAGTTAATACTAGTCATCAGATCACACGATTTCATTAAACAAATTATTGAGTACTGTATAAAAGTTCTATTGCTGAAAAATTTAAAAAAGAACTAGATCAGAATTTTTCTGATCAGATAAGAAAGGCTTTGCAATAATGTAAAAATCTGAAATAAAAAAAGTACTGACCTAGCCTATCACAGATTCGTGGAAAAGACGTAAGTTTTATGATTTTCCCAATAAAAATTCATTGCTGCATTGTAAATAAATTTTTCATAATGATTAAAATTTAGTCACATATTTCTCATTTAATTGGAAAAAATTATTAGAAGAGAATTTCTTATTTAATAAATCTTAATTGAATTTTTTCTTACATAAAACACAACTATAAAACATATTTGTTTTACTTGAAAATATGCTTAAAAAAATTATTTATTGCTTATCAAATTCGTAAAGTCATTAATCGTAATTGTAATTTAATGATTGATGATAAACTGTCATTCGTGTGAGTTACATCTCTAACAGCTTTTATTATTATTACTTTATCTATTTTGAATTTTTTGTGAATTCTTGAAGTTAAAAAGACTTGGAACAAGTACAGAGGAAACCAGGAGCTATTCCTACAAGAATTATATAAAGTAAAGTCCTTCATGAATTTTGACCAAAATATTTGCATTCAAATTTATCTGTAATGCTGGAATTGCTCCTATAATGTAATATGTAAATGTTTATTGTTTTTAAGGATAATGACAGGCATGGGATTTTTTACAGTTTTTCTTTTCTATTGAATTCAGTATTTTTTTAGCAGTGCTTTTAATATTTTTTTGTTTGAATGTGCATTAATATCTAAAAAGAAAAGAAAAAAATGCAGATAATTGGCTTCCATGCCATTTCTATTTTTTTCATCCTGATAGGGTTGTTAATAATATTTCTCAATATTAATAAGAATTACTAAAACTCAATAGATGGCGCTCAGTTTTCTCCATGCCACTGTATCATGAACATCATCCGTGTTTTGTTATTACATATATTTTGTTAAAGGCGTTTTGTAATGATTAAACCCCGAGATCAGCATATTTAACATTGGCGCCAAATAAGAGCATGTGCTTCGAAAACAGATGCGTCAATAATAAAACGCCCTATAAATTTATTATATAATTTAGAAGTGAACAATTAAATTAATATGAACATTCTATTTGAACTTTAAATTCACATTTATTATTATTTGATAATTTTATTTTACAATTCTGCTTAAGAATGGCTCATATAGTAAAAAATGTAAAATTATATTATTTTTTAAATTATTGGTAACTTTTTGAGAAATATAACTTTGATTAATATTTGAAATTATTAATTTGTTATGAACTAAGAGTTCATCCGGGAGAAGTCTTAATATTTCTCAATATTAATAATAATTACTAAAACACAATAGATGGTGCTCTGCACAGTAATGTATCATTAATTGTAATCAGTTTTCTCCATGCCACTGCGTCATGAACATCATAGGTGTTTTGTTATTAAATATATTTTGTTAAAAGTGTTTTGTAATTATTAAACCCCAAGATCATCATATTTAACAATAGTCACGTGTCAAAAAAATATGTTTATCCAATCTCAGTTTTTTTTTAATTGTTATTTTAAAAGGAAAATGGATTAATTATTTTATTTAGTTTTCTTATGTTAAACGTTTCTTTCTTGAATTATCAATCTAACCTTGTTTAATTCTAAATTACTATTTCAGTATAAATATTTACTGAGGAGAAAAGAAAAAGTTTTATCAATATTTCAGTTATCTGACAAATGGAACATGTTAATTCTCATTTGCTGCAAACTTTTACTTGATGTATTTTGAAGTTTCATAAGTTTTTAAATTCACTTCATTTTTTTGACAGTTGTAAAAATCATGCTTTAATTGTTTTTCCTTATAGTCCTGGTGGTGAACTGGAAGCAGGAGAAGATGAATTAGAAGGTTTAAAAAGACTTATGACTGAGGTATTTAAAAATAAAATTATTAATATTTAAATATTTTAGCTTTGAGTTTGTTTGTTTTTTTAATCTAATTTTAGTTGTACTATAAATACCTTAGCAAATTTGTCGCATTTTTATTATTATCATTGAGTTAATTGTAATAATTAAATTACGGGCAATGCTTATGAATGTCAAAGTTTTCTTTTGATATTGAATTCAGCTCAAAATTCTTTATGTTTACATGTAAATGTCTTTTACTTTTATACTGTTTTAAGCTATTTCAAACTCTTAAATTTCATATAGCGTGACATTTAGAACTGACACATTGATCCTTAAGAATTGAAATAAAATGTAACAGCCAAATTTACTTTCAAATTTTATTAGTATTAAGCTCAGCTCTCTTCTATTCTAGTACATCATTATAGACTTTACTTAACCTCTCTACCTTAATAGTTTGTAACAGAGCTCAGGATTCTAAATTCTGATTTATGTTTTAAAGTATTTTATATAACTTTGATGTTATTTTTAAAGAACTAATTTACATCACTCTATGAAGGTAGATAAATAAAAAAAAGTATTATAAGCAACATTTAAAGAATAATTATTATAGAACAAATGTATTTCTATGAATGGGGACTAGAGTCACTACATCTGACAGTAGTTATGTTGATGATAGTATCAGTTAAAAAGAAGGCATCAGAGTAATTGAATGGAAGTTGATCTTGCACAAAAATGTGAAATGTAATTTGTTTCTTAATGGTAAAGAAAAAAAAAACATCCTGGCATGTTATGCGAGAGTGTCATTTTTGATAAACTCAAGCATTGCCTTGAAACTTCAACTGAGGTGTCTGGAAAAGTATGCCCTCCTTTTGATACAGCTTAGGTTTGGTGACCTGAGACTATTTCCTGTTTTTGAAATAAAGCGAAAGTGTTTCTGAGAAAAGCTTCCCTTTCAATTACTGTGCAAACAGCTGAAAGAGATGTGATGAATTAAACAAGTTGGTCCTGCATAATGAAATATTCCTGTATGGGATTTAGTGCCTATGTAAAAAAAATTCCTCACTTTGCCTTTTAATTTTATTTTGTGTTTTTTAGATACTCATATTTGCTTATATCTATCCTCATAAAAATGTGAAAATGTTACTTAATTAAATAATATGTGAGAAAAAAATGTAAAATCAATTAAAATTGTTTTTCCCCCCATCAAATTATTCGGAATGAGTTTGAAAATTTCTAACTATTTATTACTGCAATTTTTAAATTTTTCTATTTATTGCTGCAATTTCCTATTTACTGCTGCAAATTCCTATCTTATATTTTGCTGCAATTTCCTATTTATTGCTGCAAATTCCTATCTTATATTTTGCTGCAATTTTTAAAGTATTTTTCTTCATTTTTGTAGACTTTGGGCCGCCAGGATGGTGTCAACCAAGAATGGACAATTGAAGACACTGTTGGTAATTGGTGGAGGCCAAATTTCGAACCTCCTCAGGTGATACTTAAAATTTAACTTGTTTTAATGCATGATATATTTTCCTTCTCTTGTCAGTGGTAGAATTCAAATTAGAGGGCCCTTGTGCTCTGTCTTTTGTGCTTTTGAATCCTATTTAGTAAATTTTTTGATTTGTTCCCAAATGTAAAAAAATTTCTTACAAACGAGTTTATTAAAACTAATTTGGGATAATCTTTAAGCTAGCTGAATAATTATTTCCTCCATATGCTAGTGTTTCTATTTAGTAAATTCATTTTCCTTAACATGTATGTTATTTTGGTGTAAAAGTAACATCATAAGGTAATTAACATTAAGTTATATTTGGATTATACTATGTGTGCATTATTTAAAAAAAAAAAATTTTCTTCTATAAATTTTTCTGCATTTAATTCTTCTGTTAATACATTTTAGTTCTTTCTATAACCAGTTTTTTTTGTAGTGTAATTTAATTAATTGTTCTACATTAAAGATGTCTTTCATAATTTTTATTTTAGTACCCTTATGTTCCACCCCATATAACCAAACCTAAAGAACACAAGAAGCTGTATTTAGTACAACTACCTGAAAAAGGTAATAGATAGTTTAAATTAAAATAATCTTTTCTTTTTTTCTCTTAATTAATCATATATGTTTTGAAATAGGAAGGAATTGTAATAAATTATCTTATGATAACAGACATATTTGTGCATATGTTTAGAAGTGGATAAATTTTTCAAAGATAAAACTCACACAAAAGAGTCAAATTTTAGTGTTACTTTGTGCTCAGACAGATTTTTCCTTGGGAACTAAAAGAAGAAGAAAAAGTTCTAAATACTTAAGAACTACATACTTGAGCAAAAATTGTATTAAATAATTGTGCAGCTAAAATTTGCTACAGAATAAAGGTGTGAGCAATAAGGATTCTTATATTAAGCAGTGAGCTTCAGTAGATACTGATTAAAATAAACTTCATAATTTTTGTTACATATATAAAGTCTATGCTCTTTAATGCGACTCCTTTACTGTGATCCTTCCATTAAGACGAAGAGAGGAGAACGATGTATTCCGGTTATCAGTTCCGTGAAAGAAATTTTCAAAATCCAGAGAAAGCACTTTATGCATGATTTTCTTAAAATTTTGTATGCTATTGAAAGATATCATTTAAAAATAATTAAATATATTTGTGGCTTTTCAAGTATTGTTGTAATACATGTAGTTTATTAAGTATTTTGTCTTAATGATAAAGAACACATTTTAACATCGATTTTGTCTCTGCCATAGGGGTCGTTAGATTGAGTGCCGAGTGCACATACGTATAATATAGATAAGATTATAAGCATACTGTTTCATTAAGATTTTATTCTTTTGTAATTTTTTGCATATGAACCTTTCTAAAACAAATTTAAATCACTTGATTTTAATCAAAATCATAATTTAGTGAATTATTGAATGAAGTTGGTTGCAATTATTGAATTTTTTCTTAATGTATTATGAAAAATAAAATCTTTATTATTTAAAATGTATTTCGAATATAATATTTTTGCAGCTAGCAGGTTAATAATTTTTAATTTATAAGGTATGAAGTCTTACATTAACTCAAACTCATTTCTCTCTTTTTATAATTTATTTATTTAAAAAATCATAATCATCATTTTAAAAACTAAATATGTTTCATTTATTCTAGCCCTATTTGCTGTTCCAAAGAATTACAAGTTGGTTGCTGCACCTTTATTCGAACTTTATGACAATGCCCAAGGATATGGACCTATTATTTCAAGTTTACCACAAGCTCTGAGCAGGTAGACTATAAATCAATGCTTTTTTTTCTCTTATTTTAAACTACAATGTAGCCGCTTTGATATTTTTATCTCACTATATGATATACTTGATTAAATAAAATTTTACATTCTTCCTCTATTTAAAAATCAAATTCGAGCAGATTAATTGTGATATAGAATTTTATATTGATTGTTTGAATTTAGTGAATTGAAAGAGAACATATTTGATTTTTGAATCTTTTATAAATTTAGAAAGTGAGGGATTGTAAAAAGTTTACTTATTCAGGGGTGATTGTATTCCAGGGGTACCCCGAAATTCCGGGGTTTTTTGTATTATCCTCCCGATTCTAAAAGTTAGGAGCAGGGTATATGATTTTTCTGGGAACAATGTGAAATTCTGTCTTTCTCAAAATCATTGGTTCTCAGACTTTCGCTAATCAAAAACTTATACTCTAAAATTTTCATGAGATTCCTCAATCTAAAATTTAGATTTTGGAACTTTTGTTACTTCCCACTAACAAGATGCTTACATTCACAGGATTCTTCTGCTAATGGGCAGAAATCCGCTAAAATGAATTTTTTTAAATAAATAAAATAATAATTTAATCCAAGATAAAAGTTTGAAACAGTGGCTAAATGAAAAGGACTATCAATATTTATCACTGGCTCATAAGGTTTGAGGAAAAAGTAGCCACTAAGTAGTTAGAGTCTACCTGCCACTGGGTACTAACTGAAAATTCAGTTTTCAGGTCCATTTATTAAAATATATTTCCTAATTACATGTTATTTTATTGTGTTACAATAGTTTTGATAATGAATAAGATGATTAATTTTTTTCTCTCTTTTCGCTTGCATTTGTATTGTTATTGCTTTGTTAATTTTATTTTTCATACTTAAATTAACACATTGGATAAATTGCAATTTTGCGTAATTTTATTTAGATTTAATATTTTCTACACCAAATGAAAAAAGAGGGTTAAATGTTAGAGTAATTCAAGAACATAATTGATTGATCACTTGTAATTTTATATGTATGTTTATTTATAAAGACTTCATATTTATAATAGCTAATAATTATCCTTACATCCAGATTTAGGGTGTTTGACAATTGTCAAAAACTATCTGAAGGTTTTTTTTTCTCAACATGACGGATTAAACCGTCAATTGTCAAAAACCTTGCTTATCCTGATTCAACTTCTCCCCTGCAATGATAATTGCAATACTTGTTTCTAATTTACATTGCTCCTTCCCCAAGTCAATAGAACTGTAATTGCAGAGCGCTAAGCAGGGCTCCCCAGGATCAGGGAGGACAGGGAAAACCTGGAATTGTCAGGCAATTTAACTCCAAAAATTAGGGAAAGTTGCAATTTTTTGACAAAAATCTATAATGTTCCTATATTATGCCTACAAAATTACCAGTCTTAAAATTGTTAGCAACAGTTATCAGTTGATTAGTAAATAATTCTAACATCTATTGCAATTATTTGTTTTTAAAATTTCGCATTTTAGTCAAACTAGAATGTTCCCTTCCTCATTTAATAATATTTTTTACTCAGAAAATCTAATATTTAACTTTATGAATAAAAGAATCAAAGTTTTCTGATGAAAATATGGTCTCATTTTTCATTAAAATTAACCTGGAAAAGTTAGGGAATTTTTTCTTCTTTCTGAAATTGATTGGAAACCCTGGTGTAGATCAGTGGGCATATAATAAAGAATTGTAAAATTGTATTTTGTCAACTTGCATTAAAAAAAAGGAAAGGAAATAATCTTATTAACCCTCAAACTGTCCCCCTAATTTCAGTTCAGGGAGCAATTTGTTTGCTTTTCTGTTCAGAAAACTGGTTATCTGGAATGTCATTCAATGGAGATTCTGTGCATGTCTGTAAAATTTTTGTTTGATTTTGCTCAAGTGGCATTTGAAAATTTCATTTAAAGAACTCCAATTTTCAATTTAGAATAATTAAGTTAATAATTCCTGGACATTCTTTTAAAATTTCCAATTACAAAAGCATAGACTACCACTCTAAAACTACCTTTTTAAATATCTTCTGTTGTGAACTGTTTGCTTGTAAATATAAGTTATGAGTTCTCTAGTTTTTTTTAAATAACTATTTCTTATTTTCAAATATTTCCACTTTCATACTATTTATTCTTTTCTTTTTCTTACAGGTTCAACTTTGTGTTTGTAACTTAAATTTACTGTGCTCATCACTCACAAGCAATGTCATTTTCTCTTGATGTATAAAATTTGACTTTGTTTTTTCTTGTAAACGATAAAACAAAACCTAATCTTAAATGTTGCATTTAATAAAAAGAACACCATTCATACGATTGTAAAAAGAAACTGCTGTTTTAAAATTTATTTTTGTCTCTTGTTTGTTTCTGATTTTTCATCTTTTTCCATAATTACTTGATGTGTACATGCTATATTGTTGATGAAGAATTTCAAAATATTTATTTTATTTAATAACGTATTTAATTTTTTACAAAATTATAGTAATCAATGAAATAAGAAGTATTTTATGTATCTTTAAGTCATTTAAAATTCTATGTAACTCTACTTACTAAACTATGTGTAAACATTTCCTCTCATGCTTATCAATGAATGCAATCATGGATTTAATGGATTAAATAGTTGTATTCTGAAAAATTTGCTCTTAAAATATTTGATATGCATATCTTTTAAGCTACCTTTAGTAATTTTTTATAGTTAGATGTCAAAGGAGGATTTCTATTAACATGTTTTTGATACATTTTTAGCTGCTCAGATTTTAAAGCATAAGTTGTTTTTTCTTATTGCTAAAACTATTCAAAATCACACTTTCTTTAAGATATATCTTATAATTATCCTTCCAATTTTGACTAAATTTATGTGGTCTGTTTGAAAAGTGTCCGATTGTAACTTTTATTGCCAGTATTAGAGAAAAAAGCTTGGGTTGTGTGGCTTAGTAATTATAGGTGACTATACCTTTGTAGCCCTTTTTTTTCCATGCCCATGGCACTGATTAGTGTATGCTACACTGTTAAAGAGTAATAGATCGATTTTATTTTGCAATGATGACTGAAAAAGAACTTGGGTACATAAAATTTTGTCTAAAACTTGCGTATTCTCTCGGATGAAACAGAATTTCACTTGAGAAGTCTCAAATTTTAGAGAATGTTAAATGCAGCATTGATTTCAAATTTACCTTGCTCACTGGGATACAAGCTCTCATCCAATGTTTTTCTGACGTTTAAAATAAAAGTTATGGTCAATTATGCTTTGAACAAAGTTGATATAAACTATTCCTGTTTAATAATTTGATCTTTTTTAAATATATAAGTTTCTACTAAAGCTTAAAAATCTGAAATTGTATGAGAGAATGTTGTTGTTTTCTTTCATATTTTAGTTTAAACAAAAAATAATAATAAACTGATTTATTAAAACAAGACACCTTTTCGGTATCACAATAGTTGCAAGTCATGCAAAATTTGAAAGATAACTCTTGCAAGGAACTTCAATGTTTGAGTTTTGATTCTAAATTCTCAGAGCAATAATATTCTGCAGAGAAAATGTTAACATTGATTTTCTATTTTTCTGTGTGAAAAACTTTTGCCTTTTTGAAAACAAAAAAAGTTAGCTTTTATTTTATGCATATTACATCTGAACAATTGTTTGTGCAAGACATGCTATTACAATTTACTTTTTAGTTAAAACCAAAAAATTGTTTTCAAAGTTTTGCAGTGTTTTTTTGTAAAAAGAAGGAAAAAAATATTTTTTGTTAATGTTCTTGAAGTTGACTACTTTGACTCCTAAAAAAATAACATTTTAAAGAACTTTTTCCAAAATGTTTCATTGTAATTTTTTATAATACAGAACTGACATTTCTTAAAAACAAAAGCTTGAAGACTAAATGTATTTTTTAAGAAGATTGTAACACAGGTTGGAAGAATGTAACTAGTCATTTAGCGTAACATATGCAGCCTTTTACACTGTACAACATGTGATATTTTACTTCCGTCGTCTCCTGTTGATGATTTAACTCTCTTGTGCATATATGTAATGCATAATTATAATCAAATTCTGTTTTATTTTGTTGCATATTTGTTTTTATTTTCACTTTGTTCTGAGTATGCACTTAATCAAATTTTTAGAATACTTTTAACATAAGTCATAAACACCCTTAGATTATATATTTTTATGTTTGCAGTAATTTTTAGATTGTTTTGAATTGATGACCAAAAATATTGGCATAAATCTTCTAAATAATTATATTTATTTATTTTTGCAAAATTAGCATTGTAATAGTTAAATTTAGTTCAACTAGTATTTTATTAAGTTACATAAAATACAACACAAACAAAGTAAATAACTTATAATCGAATGATGAGATTTTCACAAATTAGCATGCAATCCAATATTTCAAGGTGTATGCTTAAACTATGCTAAATATTTAGCATAGACGATTTCCAATAATATTTCTATTTTAAAAAAAAGTAAACTTTCTTTAAATAAAACATAATTTTGAGGATTGGGAAGACTATTTCAATTTTTGATTCAAAAAAATTTTACGAGGAGCTGCAACTTAAAAAATATGGTTCTAATAGTTGTAGAGCTGTTAAAAATCTAAAAAATATCTTTTACAAATAGTTGATACTGTTTGAGTGCCTTAAAACTTTGCACACAATGCAAAGATTCATTTATAACAAAATAATTTCATTGAAAATATTTATTTTTCAGTGATATTTGAAAATTTTTGAATTGTGCATGTAACTTTACTTTAAATTATGCAAAATTTTGCATACTTTAGAGGACAGTAATTCGTTTGAAATTATCATAAGATAAAATGGTTTTTATTTGCTTTCATATTTTTATAGATGTGCGAAATATGCAAGGGTGAAATTAACATTAGGGAGCTTAAATGGCTTCTGATTAAACCATCTAGATCTTAATACTTTTATTTGTGCTTTAATCAGTTATTTTTCACATAATCTACGTAGCTCAAAGTATACATCCTCTTTTTCAATATTGAGACTTTATCCATATTAAAACCACGCCATATATTTTGTAGGTCAGTAGGTTTTCTTCCATCAGAAAAAAATAAATCCATGTGTTAGATTTTTCAAACTTAGAATATCATACAAATTAATCAGTTTATTTAAATGTAACCCCTTGATTTATTAAAATTGCGGTTTAGTATATGAAAGTCCATTTATCAGATCAAAAGTTATTCAAGATGTAAGATTTTTTTATTTTGCACTCTGTGTATTTCTAAACGTGTACCATATTAAGTTAGTTTTAAAAAATTAGTTTGATTCAGGTATTCTAATTATCCTGCCAAGTTAGAAGTTTAAAGATTTTTATAACTAGTGGACTGCGCCCCCTGCTCGTTAACCCCCGAAAATTGCTACGCAATCTTATATGGTTTGCTTCGCAAACAAAGCTCGCTTCGCTCGCTACTGACTTAGGTACATTGCAAATGCACAAAATTCTGAGAATTAAAAACAATCGTTCAAATCCATATAAAAACTTTTCTTTTTAAAAAAGATTACATCTTTTTAGTAAATACTAAGTCATTAAAATAAATTTGAATTCAAATAAATGACATGTAATTCGTTAAACCTATTAGAAATGTGCTATAGTATAATTCGTGATATAAATCAAAAATCGTCAAATAAATTCGTGAAAATAAAGCGCTTTAGACAAAATACTAAAATAGAGATCTATTGACAAAGACTACCCACTTCTGCCTAGCTTAATAGTATGAGATTGCCGCAGCTGATGCTCTCTGGTTATTTCTGTTTTTAAAAGCGCTGTATGTTGAGCCACCTCAGCTAGATTTGGCGCGTGACATTTTTAGCGGCAATCATTGGTCGATTTTCTAGCGTTGCCATTCACGGAGTTGCAATGACGCTTTTTTTTGTCGTCGTGTAAGTTGTTGTTTATTTACGTCGCACTAGAGCTGCACCATGAGCTATTGGCGACGGTCTGAGAAACATCCCTGATTATGATCCGAAGACATGCAATCGCAATTTTGATCCTCAGCAGAGGGGATGGCACCCCCGCTTCGGTAGCCCGACGACCTGCTTGCGAAGTCGAGCATTTTACGGTAGAACAGTTTAACGAGGACCAATACCACACACCCTCGGTCCCTACGCAGGCTGATCCAAGTGGTCATTGATGCTTGACTTCGGTGATCTGCTGGGAACCGTGTCTTAACGATCAGTCCACTGCGAGACGTCGCCGTGTAAGAGAAATATATACTTTATAGATGCTTGAATATATCAAAATTTGATCGTGTAAGTATATCTATCCTTTTCAATGATCATAACAGATTGTTTCAATCTCTTTTTAGCTTCCTCAGAAGCAAAATAGGCATTTTTGTTTAAAGTTGCTCTAACATATTGCAACTAAACTAAGATGGGTTTCAAAATGAGTCTTGCTGTACCTTTCTTTTGCAAAAAAAATTTTTTTTTAAGGTTTTCCTTATGATAGTGTTCTGCTGCTGGGTTTTATGTTAATTTAAAATAATGATAAGCGAACAAAAGAAAAGGATTTCCTGGTTACAATATCTGGCAGAGTTGAACTATTGCATACTCTAATCTCAAAAATATAAAGTTGCTATTCCGGGCTGTTGAAAAATTATTTTTGAACAACCGAAATTTTCGCGGAATACATCTGTCTAAAATTGAAAATTTCGCCATTTTGAATAATTGAAACTGCTCCGGAATTTCGTGTTTTTCGTATTATCCTTCCGTGTTTGAAGATTAGGAGCAGGGCATATGATTTTTCTGGGAATGTCGTGTAATTTTGCGTTTCTCAAGACCATTGGTTCTCGGACTTTCACTAATTAAAAGCTTATAATCCGACGAAATTTTCGCGGAATACATCTGTCTAAAATTGAAAGCTTCGCCATTTTGAATAATTGAAACTGCTCCGAAATCCCTTAATATCGCGATTCTTATTCACGCGATTAGAATATCAACCATCGATTTTTCATACTTACCTAATTCTAATTTAAGTTGCAATTTGTGTTCACATAGTTTCAAAATCGTACATCGCGATTCTTACGCAATTTTAAAATCCAATTTCGCGATTTTAAAAATCCAACATCGCGATTCATGTAAGAACTAAGATATTTCTTAAATAAGTTACTTTAAAAGTGTGATATTCATTATTGATGAAAAAGCCATACCCAAATAAAAAGTTTAAAAATCAGCACCATAGTACAAAGTTTACCAAGCTTGAATTCCACTGGCAAGATTATATTAACTGTGAAGTTTATTAGTTAACATAATGAAATAAAAATTCTTCCTTTTCATTCATTTTTTATCTGCAAACTTCCAATTACCGAAATTTATAAA